TCCAATCCTTTTTTTTTTTTTTCTTAAAAAAAAAAATATTTATATATATAAATACAAAATAATAGTTTACCAAATTAAATATCATTATTGTACGTATATAACTTGGTATTATAATCTCCACCCTCTTCTCCTCCACTCCCTTAAAAATCCTACACACATTTCACGTTCTAATTCACTTTCACGTCAATTTCAAAGTACAACACAGTCACCTAGGAAGCTAAACTTTTTTTTATTAATTATTTATTATCTCAATCCCAACTCACCGACGCCGTCCAAACAAAACTCCACCCTTTCTATAAATACATCTCAGCTAATAATATCAAACAAAAAAGGTACAGCTCAGCTACTAAACTATGAACCCACCGCCGCAAGCCTGGCCCGAGCCCATCGTTCGGGTCCAAACCCTTTCCGAGTCATGCACCGACTCAATCCCCGAGCGTTACATCAAACCCCCCTCGGCCCGCCCCTCCTTCGGGCCGGGCCCGATTGAGGCCGACAACATCCCGTTAATCGACCTCGACCCAGCCCTCCGTGGGCCCATGACGCGGCTCGTGGACGAGGCGTGCCGCGAGTGGAGTTTCTTCCAGGTCGTGAACCACGGGGTTCGGCCCGAACTCATGGACCGGGCCCGGAAGGTTTGGCGGGAATTTTTCGGGCTTCCGATGGAGGTGAAGCAATCTTACGCAAACTCCCCCGCGACTTACGAGGGTTACGGGAGCCGCCTCGGAGTCGAGAAGGGCGCCGTGCTCGATTGGAGCGATTATTATTTCCTTCACTATTTGCCCTCCCACTTGAGGGATTTCGCCAAATGGCCCGCACTTCCCGTCGAGCTGAGGTGCTTTGCGCTAAATTGCAATTTTGGTCCTATCAGATTACGAATTTAGCAATTTAGTGGGACCTGAATTGCTAAATTAATTATCGAATTTTTCTTTTTCTTTTTTTTTTTTGNACGGGTCGGGTTTTGTTTGCAGGGAGGTTATCGACGAGTATTCTCGGGAGATAGTGAGGTTGGGAGGGGTTTTGTTGAAGATACTGTCGTTGAACCTGGGATTGAAGGAGGATTATCTGCAGGAGGCGTTCGGAGGGGAAGATGTCGGGGCGTGTTTGCGGGTCAACTTCTACCCGAAGTGCCCGCAGCCGGATTTGACGCTGGGCCTGTCGTCGCATTCGGATCCGGGCGGGATGACGTTTCTGTTGCCGGATGAAAATGTGCCGGGGCTCCAAGTCCGGCGGGGAGATGGGTGGGTCACGGTGAAACCCGCCCCGCATGCATTCATAGTTAATATTGGGGATCAGTTGCAGGTGATCTGGTTTTTCTTTTTTTTAAGAATAAAATTTAACTGTTGATAAACCTTTTTTCTTTTTTCTATGCTTATCTTCATTTGACATGACAAGTTTGCGGCACGCGTTGAATTAGGTTCATGGAATAATAATAACCATAATAATAATAATAAAAGAAAGTAAGTGTTGTAGATTCACTAGCTCTGGGTGTTTTGTCTATTAACTAAACAGGATAATTATAATTACTCCCTCCTATTTATAATAAGTGTCAGTTTTAGGAAGTTGCATATTAATTAAGAATAATTTTTTTGCTAATAATAACCTTCATTAATGAAGATAAAGATGGATGTTTTAAAAAAAGATAAAGAGAATATGAAAAGACGTAGTGTATTTATTAATAAATGAGAGTAATAATAGAAAAATATGTACAAAAGAACCAAAACGACATTTATTTTGGTTAATAATTGATAAAGTCAAAATAATAATATTTAAAAAGAATAGGAGATAATACTATTTAGTGCATGTAGTTTTGTTGAATTGAATCACATGTTTGGTAAACATTTGGTATCTCAAGAAATCTTGTCACATCGCTCTAAAAGTCGTGCTAGGCACTCTCACGCCTCGATTTTTGTTTAGGCGGCGAACTAGGAAGTTCACAGGTGTCTTCTAGGTGCTAGTATAATTTCTTATATTTTTTATTCTTTTTTAAAAAATATAATTAAAATGAAAATAAATTTTAATTTCTATACATTTCATGTACAGTAATTAAAAAATTAAAAAATAATAAATTTGTAAAAATTAATATAATGATTATGAGTATATTATATTTTTAAAAAAGTATTTTGTATTTTACCTGATAATATTTTTGATAATATATAATTTTTTTGTAAGTAATGCATGATTTAAAATAAAAATAAATTTATTAGTATTTTTACGACCCTACATAAGCGCTAGGCTTCAGCCCACCACCTGGCGAACACCTAGCGCCTTTTAGAACCTTGTTGTTAGTCAATATGCCACTTTACAAAATAATATATATTATAATATAAAGAAAAAAAATATGACATTTAATGTAAATATGACGGAAAGACCCGTCTAACTATAAAATCCTCTCACATCGAGTATCGGTCGACATAATATATAAACAGTAGCGTTAGACAACTATAATTGTTAGATAGCCATATTTTCTTAAAGACATGGGCATGCTTTCAAGTCATTTATATTCTATAAAACAATATAAATGAAAGTACTACATGCATTTTATAATATAAATATGCCTTTTGGTTAAAAAAAGTATGACGGATTAACACTCACGTCTAATAGTTAAGTTGTCTCACACAAAAATTAGTGTATAAACAAATACAAATTCTAATGTGAGACTCTCAAATGATTAGACATTCATACTATCTTAACAAAAATGCATACTTATATTATAAAACGTAGCACTTTTATACTTTTATTTACCTTGTTTTCTAAAATATAACCATAGTGACATGAAAGTATGTAAGCATTTCTTAAAAAAAGTATGGTTGTTTGGCCAACATTAGAAACAAAAAAAACAAAAAGGTACTACAATTAAGGAATAGTAATATATATAACCAAATTTGCCGCAATTGACTGTCAAATATAACCATGTGTTTCTCACCAATTTAGGGCAATCAATCTGGGGACAAAAGGTACTGAAAAATTTCTACCTTTAGCCCAATTACTCCTTCATTTCTACCATTCCCTTTACAATCAATATGACAAAAAATAAAAAATTAAAAAATGACAAAGCTATCATTATCAGAAAAGATCCATAATAATTTCTTCTTGGTAGCAACATCGAAATTACGGCTTTTAGTGCACCCGCATTAAGTTGAATATGCGTCCGAATTGTAATTCATTCACGTGCCTGTGTTTTATGAATTCTAATTTAATAGGAAGAAGAAATATTTTTCAATATAGATTTGTATAGCTAGAATTTAAAAATAATTCTATTAGAATTCATGCAAAGGCACGTGGTGGAGCCACTTGAGGACCGCTTTGAGCCAGAGCAACTTGCAAAAGGAGACGTGCACGTGAATTTTTACTATTAGATAGTATTATTATTTTAAATAAATTTAAGTATTTTTTTATCGAATGTTATATTTGAATATATATATATATATAAATAAAAAATGATATTCCATAATAAATTTTTTTACGGAAAAAAGTTATATACATTTAGTTGTTACTCAACCTAACATCATAATTTCAGGTACTTTGAGTAGATATATACTTTAAAACTTAAATGTCATACACCAGAAAATAACGTAAATAAATAAATGATATTCCATAGCATATATATTTATTTTTGTTGAAAATGTATGGTAGATCGACCCGCCTAACGATAAATCATCCTACATGTGGATTTATGTTTGGTTATGATATTCTTAGAGACAAATCTAGATCATTGATCGAGATAACGTCTATTAGAAAATGCGTCAGACCGCTTAGCCACTAAGGGTTGACTCAATATACTATTCGAATAGAAATATTTTTTTTTCTTATACTATTAAATGTCATACTTTATTAAATGTTATACTTGAAAATTAATAGGAGAAATCTAAATAGTCTCTACTTGATCACTAATGCATCTTTTTTTTTCTTTTTTTTTTTTGGGTTTAATTACTCAAAATCCAATTAGGTGCTGAGCAATGCCATCTACAAAAGCGTGGAACACAGAGTGATAGTCAATTCCAACCAAGAGCGCATTTCACTGGCCTATTTCTACAACCCAAAAAGCGATTTGCTCATACAGCCCGCGAAGGAATTGGTGAAACCGGACAGACCCGCACTGTACGGAGCCATGACCTTTGATGAATACAGGCTCTACATTAGGACCAAGGGCCCCAAAGGAAAAGCCCAATTAGGAGAATCCACAGATTCTCCTAATCATGACAATCCCCCCTTATATATTAATTGAGAACGTGTTGAGCCTATGTGGCAGGCTCGCATGCTTCGGGATCCTATGTGGCAAAATTACATGCTTCGTTATTAGGCTTGGATAAGTTTGGATTATCTATAAATATGTTGATTATTTATGGTAGGAGTGGGTGTGGTCCGGAACGATCTTGGATTTGATTTGTCCGCATACCCATCCCACTTTTATGACGGAATGAGACACCGTCCCCATGTAATACATGGGTGTTATACTAGTTAGTGGTTATATATGAACTTGGGAATAAGATCTATGTTTTATTTTAGTATTTCATTTCAATGGATGCATGTTATGAATATAAATATAATATTATAAGAGAAACATGTCACACATCCAATTGAATAAAATGACAGAAATGTGATCACGAAATTAGAACAGGAATCTAGCTCCATATATATGAATGTGACTTAATTGGGATAAGATCGTCTTTTGTTTCATTTTATTTTCATTGGATTATTGATCTTTGGTTTTTATGTTTCATTTTATTTTCATTGGACTATTGATCTTTGGTTTTTATGTTTCATTTTATTTTCATTGGATTATTGACATGTATATGAATGTGATATTATAATATTGATGTTGTATTTATCCAGTGAAATGTAATAGTAAAACAATAAAATGAGAGTTTTTCAAAATTTTAAGCCAAAGTTATAATATTGAAATATTGATTAAATTACCATTCAATTTCTTTTCGAATATATTTTTGATGATTTTTTTATTTTTATTTTTTTTCCCCTAGTGATGGCTATGCGACACATTTATCTTGAGCCTCATTTTGGGGCGCATTGGATGGGCCAGCCAATCGGAACCATTAGAAATTTATGGATATCATCCTTAGTTCCTAGCTATCTGTTTCTTTCTTTTTTTTTTTTNATCTTTATATTTTAATATCTTATAAATAATTGTGAAAACTTTGTCCTCATTTTGTATAGACAAACAAAGCCAAAACAATACACACATATTAACCACGTAATAAGCACGTAATAGTGTAGTGTAAAAGTCAAAACTCAAACTTTACAGCTTATTTATTGGTATCTTACTTCTTATAATATTTTTCGAATATTCCGAGGCAATTATATTTTAGACTTACGTACGATTTGCAATTGCAATTTCTTGTTCGATTTCGCATCACGCGTCACCCTTCTGACCTATTCGAATGCTATTTAGCTAATGTCACCATTAAATTATGTTATTTATTATTTTTGCCTTCAATAATATTAGCAAGATATTATGTATATTCATAATATTGAATATACATAATAATATTTAGCTAATGTCACACCCTTCAGAACCTTTTTTAAAAGGCCGACAGGTAGCTCCTAGTGACAATTAAATCAACAAGTCACTTAAATTAATGAAATTGATTGAGGTCGACCATCATTGATTAGCGTACACCTGTTATATAAAATTGCAAGATATTTCTCTAAGTGCCTATGTTTTTAAAGTCAATTATCCACTTGATCAAATGTTGTACGTAACTATTAATGATAATAATTGAAGGGCAATGTCAAATGCTTATGAAGCACGTGTTTTTCACTATTCTATTTTGAGTGCCTCATTGTATTCATATAAAACTTGCCGACTTGGGAATTATTTCTCTTCTTCTACTTGTTCAGTTATTCTTGTACATTTATCAATAATACATTTAGATATTGAATGTTGATTGTGGAACATTCATATTTGTCAAATTATTGATGCAGATAAATATAAATCAAATCTTCTCACTGATTCATTAGGGATTTATTCAAAATTGTGTCTCCAAAAAATTATATAAGTAATATGGTATAAGAGTATAAATCCGCTTAAAAAATAGTAGATAGGTGAGTTGCAATATATAAATCATTAGGTCTTTTGAATTGCTAACTACCACTTTTTTTTTAAAAGGTTCATCTTACAAAACAAAATTTATTTTGAATATCAGAAATTTATAAACCAAGTAAATAGGTTATAAATTAGCTTATATTATTTACACTACAAGAAAATAATGAACTTGTAAAGGAAATATATTCAAATAGAATTCCAACGGCAATTTCAATGGATATTTTTAATGCTATTATTCTCGTTGGAATTTTTCAATGGAATCCAACGAAAATTCCAACAAAAAATTTCCGCTGGAATGAGTTTTCCATTGGAATTTCCGTTAGATTTTGACGATTTCAACGGAAGTGAAAATAAAAATTCTAACGGAATTCGTATATTTCAACGGTAAAAAGCCGTTGAAAAAATAACCGTTGGAATCATCAAATTCCATCTAAAATTTCAATGGAAAACACATTCCAACGGAATATTTTCGTTGTAATTTCTGTTGTAATCATTCCAACGGAAGCTATGTCATTTGAATATCCGTTGGAACTTTCAATGGAATAAATTACCATAAAATTTTCTGTTGAATTATAACAATTTTTTTGTAGTGTTACTAAAGACATAGTAAGTTCCATGACTTAGGGAGAAAATCTTTTTACACATAGGCCGTCAATTTTACTAGAAATATATATTTATACTATAAAACTTGATATATTTATTTATATTATTTTTTAAAATATGAAAATTGAATATAATATTATATGGATTATGGAACATGATTGTTTAAACCCAAGCTAACAAAATACCTATGCATCTTTAGTTCTTTACTACATTTAATTCCAGGGGGGCGGGGGGTTTGGGGGTGAAGGCATGGGACCAAGATATTTGGCAGTTTAATTTTAATGGAAAACACGTTTTTTTTTGGGGGGCGGGTAAGTAAGAAAGGAGGCCGAAGCCTAAGCAAATTTTTGGATTTGTGGCTGTGGGCCTTCCTGTAGATGGGGCTGAGTCACTCACTTGAGTGGATCACTTTGATTGATCCAATTTTGGTCTAGTAAAAGAGTTCGAATATTTAATATGAGTTGATTTGTTAATTGAGTCGAGTTTGAATAATAAATTTGGCTTGTTTAATGGACGAACGAATACAAACTCGTTCGACAATGTTCGATGATGTTCACGAACTTTATTTTGATATAGTTTGATTTTATTTTAAGTTCGATAGTTTTAACAAAAAATCTAAAATATGAATTATTATTATTATTATTATTATTATTATTATTATTATTATTATTATTTATTTTATTTTTTATTTTCGAGTTCGAACGGACAGATCTCGAGTTAGTCAAACAATTTAATATACAAAATTTATTTACTTAATTATTCAAACATGAAAGAATTTAAATTTTGAATAACGATTAAACGAATTGGACAAACTCAAACACAAGTTTGTGCTCGGACAATAAACGAAACAAACAAGAACAATGTTCGAATATAGTATAGCATGAGCTCGTAGACATGGTCAAAACCCGGGCAGGGTCACGACCCAGCCCGGGCCGACGGGCTCGAAAATAATGACCCTGAACCGACACGGATCTATACTCGTGCCGAGTTCGTGTCCGGGCCGGTTCGTGTCCGGTCCGGGCCGGATCCGTTACTTTTTTAAAAAAACAATAGAAAAAAATAAAAAAGAATAGAAAAAGAGGGTCATCGACTCGGCCTCGGCCCGGCCCGGACCCGCCGGGCCAGGTCATGAAATGTATGACCCTTACATGGCCCGTCTAAAATTCGGGACGGTCCCGGACCCGTGGTCAACGGATTTGACCAGGCCCGGTCTGTGTCGAGTCTGGGCCGGGCGGCCCTTGGCCATGTCTATATGAGCTCGGAATGCTCAATCCCCACTCGTTCGGTTCGATTACAACATTAAGTATACGCCTAATTTTGTTGGGAATCAGTCCTTAAAAAAACATGTGCAATATATCTAAAATAATTAACTAATAAAAAAATCAAATACCACTTAATGCTAAGCATTACCACCATAAATTTTTTTTTTGTATTATAACCGTGCATCGCACGGGTATCAACTATCAACACTACTCCCTCCTATTTTTATTATTTGTCATTCTGACTTAATTGATCATTTGTTAAATAAATATCGTTTTGTCTATTTTTTACATATTTTTTCATTATTACTATTATTTAACTAATAATACACTACGTCTTTTCATATTCACTCTTTATCTTTTTTCAAAATATCCATCTCTATCCTTGTTAACGAGGGTTATTATTGGCAAAAAAAATATTCTTAATTATTGTGCAACTTCTCAAAACGATATTTATTAAAAATAAGAGAGAGTAGTTGATTTAGTAAAGTCAGTTAACCATATTTAGGCCGTTAAATGTTATTTTTTGTATGTATTCAGCCAATGTTTATCTCTTTAAATAACAAATATCTTTTTTTTTTCAAAAAAATACTATTTGCTTAATCATTTCATCTCATTTTTTCTATACTATCCCACTTACAAAATATATATATTAAAAAAAAAAAAACTAATCATTATTAAGAATATAGATTCACCTACTCCTTTTTTTTAACTAGTCTCATAAACTAATATTTTATTATTTTAATATTGCAATAATATTAATCACTACATTTTTCACTCAGTTTTTCCGCCACTTTTTCATCACACTTTTTCCACAAAATTATCTATCTATCTATCTATCTATCTATCTATCTATCTATATCTATATCTATCTATTTATCTATCTATACTACTCTAAAAGGACGAGTGTTTTTGTAAAAATATGAACTACCTAAAAAACCTTTACTTTGGCATATTTTTAATGGAAAATTAGTAATACACTAATACACATCATATTTTATATTTTTAAATATTAAAATGAATTACCTAATAAGCCCTTACTTTGACATGTTTTAAATGGCAAATTAGTAATATACTAATGTCCATCATATCTTATATTTTTAATTATAACTAATATTTAATTAATTAAATACAAATACATGAACAAATCATTCCACACTCCTAAAATCAACTATAGTATGTTGGTTTGGCACCATTATTTCTCACGAATTTGTTTTCTTCCACATATCTCTAAAACTGTTTGATAGGATATAGAATTGTTGTTTTGAAAAATGTCATTATTTTTAATATATTTTAATGGTAATATTGTAATCACATTTCATAACTCTAATATATAAAAGTTCCTTAAAGAAATTAAAATTGATCTAACAAAAAAAGCATAATAAACACTTATAAAACTAGAAATCGATATTGTTTTTTTCTCATAACGACCACAAAGTATAGAAACATTATTTTCAAAATAACCTATACAAAATGTGTAATAGTATGCGACATTAATTGTTTAATGATTGTTCTGCAACCTAAACTTCTAATCAATTCAATTTCTTCGATACATAAGACCAGAATAATTTTATGAAATTGT